GGGGGGGGGGGGGGGGGGGGGGGGGGGAGGAGAAAGGAGGGCCGCAGGAAAGACGGGACGATGAGAGCAGGACGAACGGATGGGAAGGAGTGGGATAGGGGGAAGCAGGGAGAAGAGGGAGAAATAAGGGGAAAGAGGGGTACGGGGACGGAGGGGGCTGTTGTGTGAGCATGATGACCGCGGAGTCGGAGGCAAGGGGGAGGGGGTTGTTGGGTGAGTTGAATGGAAATGTGATGTGGCCACTAGCGAAGAGGGGGGAGGGGGTGATGGGTGGATGGAATGAGGATCCATGTGCTGGTTTTGTTGCAGATGCGCGGGATATGAAAAGTGCTCGGGAGGGAGGTACTCCAGAGAGCACAGAAGGGGGGAGGGGGAAGAGGGGTGGCAATGCATGAGCATACTTTTGGGTGTTGGATTCGACACGCGGACAGGGGGTTGTGATGGGGATGAGGAGCGGGGGGGAGGGGTGTGTGCGGGTTTCGCGCGCAAGGACTCGAGGCAAGGGACAGGTTGGGTGATTACACTGAATGGTTACGTGACGTAGGTCCTTTCGCAGTTGCCTAGGCTACGTAAGAGAGAGGGGAAAGGGTGATGGCTTGAAAGGAGGGAGACAAGAAAAAAGTACCAGCGAGAAAGAAAATAAAAGCAAGAAGAAAGTACCAGCAAGAAAGGAAATAAAAGAAAGAAAAAAGTATAAGTAACAAAGAAAGCGAAAGCAAGCGAAACTTGCCATAAGCAGGGGACATCCCCACCCATAAAGCTGATTCTTAGGTGAAGAAAGCTGAAAGCGAAAAAAGTGAAGCTGATGCTTAAGTAAAACTGAGAACTTTCAGTTTTGCCTGAGCATCAGCAATTTCATCCATCAGCTTTACCTAAGCATCAGCGGTTTGATCCCTCTGTTTATCTAAGAATCAGCAATTTGATTCCAGAGCCTAATCTAAGCATCATTTGATAAATACTAAAGCTTTACCTAAGCATCAGCTTCATAAATGGGAAAGTCCTTTGCTGGTAACGGGTTTTTCGCTTGTTGAAAGCTTCCTTCTTATGAAGCTGATGCTTAGGTGAAGCTGAGAGATCAAATTGCTGATGCTTAGATAAAGCTGAAAGCTCTCAGTTTTACCTAAGCATCAGCTTCACCTTATTCGCTTTCAGCTTTTTCCACCTTGGCATCAGCTTTATGGGTGGGGATGTACCCTATTTGTGGCGGGTTTTTCGCTTGCTTTTCTTGCTTTTATTTTATTTCTTGCTTTTACTTTTTTCCTGCTTTCTTCCTTTCAAGCCATCGCCGCTTCCCCTTTCCCTTAAGTGGCTTAGGCAACTGCCAAAGGATCTACGTCACGTAGCCATTCAATGTAATCACCCAACTCGTTCCCTCTGCCTCGAATC